CAGTTGAATTGTTTTAGTTCACTGAAAATAAACGCTGATAAAAACTGCCCGACAAAATTCATCTCATCAGAGTGGAGGTTTGTGAAGATTGTATTAATTCTAGTAGTTGAATTCATGAGCCGATCTAAGCCAGATCACCATTGAAAACTTGGGAGGATTGGATGGCTGTCTCGTCTTAGTGTGGGATTCCCCATAAATGAGCATCCACGATACTGTATATGAGATTTGAACTCAGGACCTTCGGTCTCACATGCGAACGCTTCACCTCTAAACCACTGAGTTGGTTTTAATGTCTAACTCCAAACAATTCACGTTTTTGCGCCTCCGTCCACCATTGTCTTCAGTGAGTAACCGCCTCACAACAGACACGGTTGAATTTCACTGGTCATGGCTTCGTACTATATTAATAGAATGGGGATTTGTGGAGATTGTAGTAATATTAATAGTTGAATTCCTGAGTCGATTTAAGTTAGACCACCATTGAAAACCTAGATCACTGCTGATAAATTCAAAAATGTACTAGATATCACTTGAGAATAAGGTGTCATTAACTAAAGTTTATCAAAACGTTGTTTCTAATCTTGCACACATATGCTATTTCAGTCAGTTAACAAAAAGTCTTACAATTAATCTTTGCTTTCACTATTCAGAAATTTAATTTATTACCTTGAGCTACTAAACATTTGTAAGTAGTATAATTATTATCGAACATTCTATAGTGACGATGAAACAGAACACTAACGTTGATGTTGAGCTCAGCACCAAGATATTTTCCAAATTGCATGCCTACAACATCAGTGATGAGTCATGTCTCGTTTTCTAGTTGAATAACTAGATCTAACGGCGAGACTCTAATTTATGGACGAGCCAATAACAAGTTTTAGAGATTTCAAGGTTACAGCACCAACTTCAGTGCCTAAGGCTAACGTACCATCGGTTCACAACGAATTTTGTACAAAACGTGATAATTGAGCGGCTATAACAAATGAAACAGCGAGACTATAATTTGTGGACGAATCAATCGGGTAAAAGATAATAGATCTCGAATTTTAATGCGAAAACCTTCCATCCTTTTGGTTAAATAAACTCCTGACATTATAGCTGATGTCAGTTCGTAATGAAAACCGCATATACAATTCCTAACTAAGGTAAATTATGATAATTACTGCGAACTGGATAATAAAAGCACCAGTAACACTGGTTGCAGCCAGGTACTACAATATATACGGATGTTTGGAGAGCGTACAGACTCCTACACAGGCTTAGTTAGGTGCATCGTATCGTTATCCACAAGTAGCATTTTGTGTATTCATCAGCCGAAGTACACATAAACAACATTGGATCTATGTAGTCAAGGTTGAAAGAGTTTTTGAGACTTTATCATGGCTCTAGAGGTCGACTATTCTGTAGCCATATGGATGATTCCCTCTGATGCATGCATTACGATTTTAGAACCTCTGAACCTCTTTCTAACCTTGACAAGTTTTTAAACCACGTCAAAGAAGTGTATCTACTTTATTTCTTTGGTTTTGTATAACATCTTTTTACTCTTTACTGATTGTTTGCTGACTGACTAATATTTCCCAAAGTCACTTGAGATTCGTTCAAAGATCGTCCATAAATTAGAGTCTCGCCGATCTCACTTCCACTGTGTTGAAAATAATGAAATAGCAAACACATGCACACCTTCCCATTACTATACCTTCACTATGTTTTGTAATATTCCTTTAATAATATGTAATATCCAAATCTTTGTTTTAGTGTCGACTTTCCTTCAAAGTTTCAGATATAATGAACTAAATAATATGCAACTAACACATTCCCCAGCTCTTAAATAGCCATCTCCTTAAAAATTTGCAATGCTTCTTAATTGGTACTTATGGAACATGACTAATAAGTAAAGTATCATCGTTAACTTCCTCTATGTATATAAATAAACTATTTCACTCATTCTTCTTAAATACTAGTGGCAAAATATCACAGGGTACACCTACGAAAGACATCGGTTGAATAAACAATGTGACGATTCTATGCATTTATCATACGATATAACTAAGAATTATATATGTATGGCAGTGAAACATGTCCGGTAAGAGTAGAGGATATTCGTAGGTTACTAGTATTTGATCATAGGTGTCTTCGAAATATTGCTCGTATATCATGGGACCATCGAGTAAGTAACACAGTTGTTAGGACACGGGTACTAGGTAAGGATGGCAAATCAATTGATGACGTAGTGAAACTTCATCAGTTGAGATGGCTGGGACACTTGTTACGTATGCCCAACTACCGACTGCTCGACGTGCGATGTTCAGTGGTATAGGTGTAGGTTGGAAGAAAGCTAGGGGCGGCCAGACCAAAACATGGCACAAGTCCATGAAGTCACTGACAAGTGGACTGAACCATGTTGGTAGGTGTAGATTACCTGGTTGGGATCCTCAAGACGATGACAACCGATGGTTAGAGGCTTTGAATGACATGGCTCAAAATCGTTTGTAATGGCACAGGTGCATACACTCTTTGTGTTCTCCCAAGTTCTAATCTTCTGAATTCTTCATGTCCTTTTGTTTTTCCTCTTTTCAAATTTATTTCACTGGATTATACTCCTTGAATAACATCTTCAACCCCTAATTTTTCTGATTACAGCTTATAATTTTACTACATCTAGCACTACGGGATTTGAATCAACCACTTCATCTATGAGCTAATGTGGTGTGGCAACTCGAACTGATGTGCGTACGTACGAAGTTCTACGTTGTTACTGACTGACTGACTGAAGAATTCTATGGATTCATTTTATATTGTTTGTTTGAATCTTCCGATTGCTGTTTAAGACTGCAAGTGATCAGTCTGTTATTGGGATATGTGCATCATGTGAGAAATGACTCGGTATTACCTCAAGTCACAAGGATTATAAGCAAAGATAGATGGTAGCTAGCAGTAGAATCCTGGACACGAGTTTCGTCCTACATATATAATACAAACCGGAGTGATGTACACATTAAGCTTCAAGATAACCATTAATGACTTTGTATCTGATATACCCTCAATTATCTTGCCTTTCCAGAACAATTAATTAAAATAGGCATACAAAAGAAATTCACAAGTTGCAAATCAACGACTGATTGCTGACCTCTTCATCGACTTATCAAATTATATATCACTCTGTCTTTACATAACTCCTTCTGATGATGTATTCAAGAGAAGTTTGTATAAACTCTATGATACCATCATCTAGTACTAACTCAAGTATTCCACTATTTATATTCATCAAATGAAACTGACAATATACTAATAGTCAGTAAATTAACATCAGTTCCTTATGAAACCATTTCACGTCGTTTATTTCTTTAAAGAACAAACTTTAAATGTCAACTATTCACTATCAATGATTAATAGTGTAAAATACTCATTTTGGAAGTGAAGTTTATTTTTATACCTCCCACCTTTTACCAATATATATGTGACTACTGATATTCAGTTTTTGATGAAATGATTAAACTCTAACAGCCATAGCAACATGATGTGGCCTACCCTAGATAATAATGTTTACTATGTAATATGCTTGATTAGTCAATGAGAAACTATGATTACGCAACCATATTTATTTATTTGTTTATTTGAACACAAATATTGGTACAAAGGGGCACCGAATACCTATACACCACACAAATCGCTTGATTTATGTGTAGGCTGTGATACTGCCCGGATGCCCAGACCGAAGCAAGTGGTTTTCATAGGAGGTCACACCCAAAGTCTTCGACCTAAAGGTCTAATCCGCAAGGCAGTTGAACAATGTAAAGAAATGCAGTCCTATGGTAGCCGATGACCAACAAGAGGTTCATACGCCATTCTTCCCCCAGGTTTCTGGAGCCCATGTGTACTATTTGGTTTGAAATCAAGTTTTTTCCAACTCCCCTAGATGGATCCTGAATATTCAACAATCCGATTAAACTGCCCGATATTCACTTTTCATTATCTCAATTTCTTAAACATTAGCCGTATCACGAGAAAGCAATGAATAGGATTTCCTTGTCAGTGACTGTATATATGTGATCATCTGAAAGCATTTGGAAAGGGAGAGCAGACTCTTCCCACTCTCAAACGTACCAGGACATTTAGGGGTAACCCTATCTAACTATGAACTATAACAATACTACAATAATAATTATAATATACCTGTTATATCCGAGCGAAGATTAAATCACGAGTAACTTCTGAGACCTATTAATTGACTAATATTATCTATACATTCTTATGGTATAACTATTCAATAATTAGATTATGTATATTTATATTCCCCTTATTATAAGCTTTTTTTGACCTATAATGTATTATTGTACGATTTACGGTTCTTAAGCTATGGTCAGTTTATTGACTACTGCCTCCCATGTTCACAGCCACTTTTTGGGTTTATTGTGTACAAATGTTATTTCCTATTTTATGGTGCGCTGAGGTCTGTTTGACTGATATATAAGCCCAGTATATGTGAAATAAATGATTCGATTCGCGTCCAATAGTGGAAGCTGGTATTAGTGTTCTGGACTCAAGTGGACAGGTTAAACGGACATAGGACCGTTGAGGACGCTAAACTGCTCATACCGGTCGGACTTCATTGGTTTGGCATAGTGCCAAGATTGTATAAGTCGTATTTTGATTGGTGGATAAATCACGTGATAACTAACCGGACACAAAAGTCATAACAATACCATTTTTAATATCAGATGGGTTTTGTGGATATTATAGTAATTTCAACGGTTAAGATCATGAGTCAGTTGAAGCTAGATCACCATGGAAAACATGGAAGCACTGGACGACCGTTTTGTCCTCTGGTGGGACTCCTCAGCAGTGCGCATCCACAGCCTCACCCCCTGCGACATTCAAACCCAGGACCTACTGATTTTATTCATGAATAAAACAGACAGTGATAGGATGACTGTGTATTACAATTGAGTAGAATGTAACTAAGTTAATGACTAAATAAATAATCTTCTCTTTCATCATTTCTTAATCATATGTCCATTAGATTCTGGTGGATATTTATTAATATCATATTGTGTTAAACGTTCAATGACATGATGAATTTCTTCTTTAGTTAATTTCTTCATTATTGGTCTAATTTGACTTTTTAATGAACAACCATAATCATAACGATTAAAACCAAGATATTTTCTAGCTAATGTTGATTCTATAGGAAGTTTAGATAGATTATCATTTGTTAAATGTTCAATGATTTCTTGTAATTTATCGGCATTACATTTCATATATGAAATAGGATTTGTAAAGGAGTTAGTACTTGAATGGTTTGGTAATTTTTCATTAGTTAATCTTTCAATTAAATTATCTATCTAATAAACAAAAGAATAGACTGGTAGATAGATATTATTAGAGATGAAAAATACCACCATATCAATCGGGGGGGGGAGGGTCTAACATTAATCGGTTCATGATCTCAATCAAAAACTTAATCATCTCCACAACCCCTTGCTAGGGTTGAAGCTAACACGAGTTCACTTAATCTGCGAACGAGAAAACAAGACTCAGTGACCAAAAACCAGTAAGGTAGCTCTATTTGATGCATCTCAGCCTCGCTAACTAGAGGGAGAAGTTCAAGCTTGGAATGGGGAAGTATATTCTACAAACAGCCAGAAACGAGCGATCACAACAAATAGAATTCAAAACGTATATATACAGCACAAAACCGTCCTTGTGAATAGTTACTAATTAACATAATAAAAGACGCAATGGACCAATAGCATCTAAGATATTTCCCAGTGGGAAATAAGACATGTAGGTGATAAGAGCGTCTTTGGCATAACATGGTGGAGAAGATTTATAGCTCAGGTAGATGATTTTGATGGAATTTTGTTCTCTTAACTGGATGGTTTAATCGTGAAGCTTTCATCGTTCTTCTGAACGAAATCATCAGCACAAACTTCAGATAGAAGTGAAGTGTTCGAATTTCTCCATATGTGGTTCACAACTTGTCCTGTAGACCTCAATGTTGATTGATTGTTGTTGATCTTGTTTAAAGTCGATTATTTCATTACAAATTAATAAGTTAATCATAGTTAAAGTATAGCATAGTGTAACTCTACGTCAATCTAAGATACCATATTACAAAAAGAGTGAAATAAGCTGAAATTCGTAAAATCAATAGTAAGTTTATTGAACTAATACTAATATCAATGATAATCACAAAAGATTAGACATTGTTAGAACATTGTTCAAATTCAATGAAAATATTAACCGATTTCAAAGGAGAGTTTAGGTTGTTATATCTCGATGAGAATATTGAATGGTAACTGTAAGGATCCATTTATGGACTAATACTATACATATATTCTTATTGTGTAATTGTTAAGTAACTACACTATGCATATTCATGTTCCTCTTTGATACGTCTTGTTAATTTGAACGCTTTATTCGGTTCCTAAGCTATTCTGTAACCCTCAAGCTAGAACTACACAGCGACTTGAACTCGAGAGAAAAGGCGCAAAATAAGCGAAAAACACTTTACTCCAAAGGTTCATTTTTGTACAGAAAACACGGGTATTTATAGATGTTAACATTTGTTAAATCAATATCATATTTTGAGCAATCCGTTAAAAGACATATTATGCTACTGATCAATAGTAGCACGCCACTTTGATATTCTAGAAAGCTCCATCGTGTTCCGATTGGCTAGGACTCTTTGGCTCTTTTAGAACCTCTGGAGGCTCCATTGCAGTTCTCGGAAAGCGGACTCAACAATTACAGTTACAATAAATATTGTAGGACTAGTTATTGGTTGATTTAGCAAATATTCTATCTTATTCATGAACTCCTTAACGGTGAATGGGTACAATCACATGCAGTAACAAACCCACGTCAGTCAGGCATCGCACCACTAGTACAGTACTTCTAAATCACTGTGATAGGACAAAATAACCTGATGTTTCAACCTCAAGTCGAGTTTTTTCAGCTTAAACAGTATTCCTACAAAAATTGTCTTCACACTGGATTGATTTCTACTAACTGGATTAGCAAGGAAGCAATGATAATAACAGCGCTGTGTTTCGTAATTCAATTCAGTTAAGACATACACTTCTCAAAGCATATCAAAATCTCTAAGCAAATGACAAGACTAGGGTTGAAATGAAAGCTTATCAACCAAAATAAATTATCATTACACAAATCATAGGTATATAAATGTGAGTATGCTTCTCACTCAAACATCGAAATATAGACTGAGACTTTCATTAGGTGCATCAGTGACTTCTCCTAAAAACGTCTCACATTAGCAATGTTGAACTAATCAATACAAATGTCAAGACAATTCTACTGTATGGGGCAGAAACCTGGAGAACTACGAAAGCCATCATCCAGAAAATACAGGTGTTTATTAACAGTTGTCTATACAAAATACTTCAGATCCGTTGGCCGGACACTATTAGCAACAACGTACTGTGGGAAAGAACAAATCAGATCGCAGTGGAGGAAGAAATCAGGAAGAAGCGCTGGAAGTGGATAGGACATACATTGAGGAAAGCATCCAACTGTGTCACAAGACATGTCCTCAAGGCCAAAGGAGAAGTGGAAGACCAAAGAAGACATTACGTCGAAAAATGGAGATAGACATGAGAAAAACGAACAAGAATTGGATAGGACTAGAAAAGAAGGCCGAGGACAGAGTGTGTTGGAGAATGCTGGTCGGTGGCCTATGCTCCATTAGGAGTAACAGGCGTAAGTAAGTAAGTAAACGATCCTATCAGACAGCATTACAGAGTCTTAGGTTTATTTATATGGAGAAAAGAAAACCTAATGTTAATTGAAAAGATTCTAAATAATAATCATAAGACAACCATCTACATTAACTAAATCTAACATCTGATCAACAATAAGGTTCTAGTTCAAATTCTTTGATTAGATAACCCCCCTCTCCCTCGAGCTCAAAATTATGAACCACCCTAAAAAAAATTCTCCTCCCTCCCCCCGCAATTTTGTTTTAGTATTATTTCTGCATTACAGAAAAAGAAAATAATATTCCCAATGATCTTACCTCTGTTCTACTTAAATGTTTAAATACTTGATTTGTATATTTTCTATGTGGATATTCATATCTTCCATAACCTAAATAGATTTTTGCATTATTTGATTCAGGCGGTCCAATTGTTTTATCATATTTTGTTAAACGTTCAATAATTTTATTAATTTCTTTTTGGGATAATTTTGGCTTATTTGATAATGATGATAATGATGATGATTGAAGAGAATCATAAGACTTTTGTGATACTTTGGTAGAGTTGTTCATTGTACTGGGTTGATGAGAAACATTTGATGAATATTCTTCCTAAATTATGAAAATGAATATGGATAATCTACTAATATTGAATATGTGGAAATGTTGGAAATCGACGTATTGTGGGACTCCTGAGCCGTGCGCATCCACGACCTCGCCTCACGGGACTCGAACCCGCGACCTATCGGTTGAAATTACTACAATCTTCACAAAACCCCTTCTGATACTAATCAACATATGCTCACTAGTGACTTGCTTTAAGAGATATATCCTGGAGTTCTAATGAGAAATAGTGACCAGTGGAGTTCAAGTGGGTCAGTTGTGAGGTAGTAACTCACTTATGACAATGGTGGATGTGTCGCTCAATTTCGTGGATTAGTTGAAGTTAGACATTAACACCGTCAGATGCCGGCTCAGTGGTCTACTTGGCTAAGCGCTTAGCATGGCGCTGGTAGGTCCTGGATTCAAATCCCGCGAGGTGGGGTCGCGGATGCTAGCTGCTGGGGGGTCCCGCGGCAGTTCCGGGGTTTCCGTCCAGTGGTTCCAGGTTTCCCACGGCCGTCTAGCCTCAACTGACTCGCGATCTCAACTGTTGGGACTATACTTTATGGTTAAATTCAATCCTTTAGTTTCATAGTAAAGTACTTACCATATCATAGAGAAATAAAGTTATGATTACTTACTTATGCCTGTTACTACTCGTGGAGGAGCATAGGCTGAACACAAGCATTCTTCATCCATCACTGTCCTGAGGAATCTTTTCCAGTTGTTTCCAGTTGCTATTCATCCTTTCCATATCCACTTCCATTTCCCGACTTAATGTGTTGTTTGGTCTTCTACTTTTCCGCTTCCCTTCAGGATTCAAAGTTAGAGCTTGCGTCGTGATGCAGTTTGATGATTTCTATTATCTATGTCCTATTTACTTCCAACATCGTTTCCTAATTTCCTCTTCAGCTAAAACCTGGTTTGTTCTCTCCCACACAATGCTGTTGCTGGTGATATCTGGCGAATGGATGTTGAGTATCTTGCGTAGACAACTATTTATAAATACTTGTACTTTCTTGATAATTGTTGTGGTAGTTCACGAAGTTCCAGCTCCGTACGGTAGAACTGCCTTGACGTTCGAATTGAAGATTGTGACTTTGATATTGGTTGACAGTCGTTTTGAGTTCCATATATTCTTCAATTGTAGGAATGCTGTCATTACTTTGCTAATCATCGCCTTTACGTCTGCATCTGATCCCCCTTGTTCATCAACTATGCTTCCCAGGTACGTGTAGCTTTCCTATTGAACAAATTCGAAAAACCATTATATGCGGATTGTATGACTATAATGATGATTTCGCTTTTGCTATAAACCATCAATACCTGAGAGTTTTATACCATACTTAAAACTGTTTGGGTTTGGAGTAGCATTCCTTCTGACTCGTCTTCTCTCTTCTTTTTTGTGACTTGGAATGTTCTAGTGTTCGAGTTCTCAAGTTGTACGCGGTATATTAAGAATCTAAACTCTAGATATAACAGGCAGTTTATGAGTCATCGATAGCAGTGAAATAGATTACATAAATAAACATAATAAGTAGAAGGTACAAATTGATTATGTGATGACAAAGGAATAATTTCTGATGGGAATAATAAAGGCTCGAATCCGTGTTTCATAATGGAGATTAGGTTAGTGGTTTGAAAAAATATAGATTCCGAAATAACCTTCATAAAAACTATAAGATTATGTACTAAGAAGCGTTCAGATAACTGGACAATAAAGCATATATTTGGAGAAAATAGGTGGGAGGGGGTGAAGAAAACAGAGTATGGAAAATAATAATAAATAAAATCATTTATTAAGGTCAAGGAAAAGATGAAGTTGTTGAAAATCCTTTATAAATACGAAGACTTGGATTGTTGGCTTGAATTCCTATAGCTTCTGCAATGTGTAAGACACGAGACCGAACCGCATGTGGTAAATTAGTAGAAATACAATAGATAACTTTAAATGACCTATTTCTGTCTAATACATGACCACAGGAGCGGTTGAATTAGTAAATATCCATCGATGTCGAAGTACCAGGCAACTTATCCTTTAGTTAAAAAATCTCCATAGATCAGGCCGAGAAAGTTAGAAAGAGGTCAGCTGCATTAGACCTCCTCTTCGCTGCTCTAGTCAGTCTGTCCTGTAGCACATACAAGCTATATCTCCGTTGAATTGCAGCTTCAGGGAGAGGTTTTTTTTACTAGTCACTGATGCAACTACTTTCCTGTTTGTTATATTCAAGTGTCTCTTCAGATTAGTGTTCGTAAAATCTTGTAACGGACTTGATTAATATCACAAGTGATTTCAATTATTTACCATGTCACAAAAATTGACTGAATGAATTAACTGTTTTTCACTTAGTTCTTCGTATCTCCTGGTTTTTTTTGTTAACGGAATATTTTACTTACTAAAATTAAGTAGTTTGAGTTATATTTAACAATTTCCTCAGTGATGTAGATAGGCGCTATTTATCTTTTGTAGTTTTGAACTACCATTTTACTTACCACATTTTATTCTATAAATTTGATCCTTCTATCTGTAAAATAATCTCTATAATTTTATAATTCCCGGAAAAATTAATGCTAACATAACTTTGGTATAATTAAAACAATTAGTCCCTTTGATAAATTTCGATAATGATATTAGAAGACGAAGATTATCAGAACTATGTGATATATTAGCGCAATACATTTCGAACAATCTGGTCACACATATACTTGTTAAGAGCATTTATATATAGAAATAAAAGGTCAACCAGACTGGAAATGGGGTAAGAGGAGATAAGGATAATGTTAAGAGTAATAATAATAATAATAATGTGAACACAATTTGAAACCTAATCACTCTGGATAATAAGTCAATATTACCAGGGTAGGTTTAAGGTAAGAACAAACTGTTTTTGAACACATAAAGGGGGTTTGAATTTTCGTATGGCTAAGGCTTCAATGAACCTTAGTATACGCCCTTTTACACTTTTATACAGCACTACAAAAGCTGAATTTAGATCAATCTTGTGACCTGTTTCAATTATATGTTTAGCAATAGAGGATGATGGATGTTTATCCTCTGCTCTTATCGGGTCACTTGATTGTATTTGTTTCTGAAGCCATTTGGGTACATGTTCACTCACCCTAATGTACCCAAATGGCTTCAGAAACAAATACAATCAAGTGACCCGATAAGAGCAGAGGATAAACATCCATCATCCTCTATTGCTAAACATATAATTGAAACAGGTCACAAGATTGATCTAAATTCAGCTTTCGTAGTGTTGTATAAAAGTGTAAAAAAGCGTATACTAAGGTTTATTGAAGCTTTAGCCATACGAAAATTCAAACCCCCTTTATGTGTTCAAAAACAGTTTGTTCTTACCTTAAACCTACCCTGGTAATATTGACTTATTATCCAGAGTGATTAGGTTTCAAATTGTGTTCACATTATTATTATTATTATTACTCTTATGATCATCCTCATCTCCTCTTACCCCATTTCCAGTCTGGTTGACCTTTTATTTCTATATATAAATGCTCTTAACAAGTATGTAATGTGTGATCAGATTATTCGAAATGTATTGAGCTAATATATCACATAGTTCTGATAATCTTCGTCTTCTAATATCATTATTGAAATTTGGTATATTTACAAATAATCATGTTGATTTCATACCGAAGAGCTGAAGTTATAAAACAATTGGTATAATGTATGTTTGTCACAGCCTCCCTCTTAACTATTTGAGCATGTAGGGATAAATATCTGTATCTATATCCATATATATATATTTACATGTCAGTCAATCAGTTAGAAACTCACAACGAAGAATCTGTACGTATGTACATCGGTTCAATTTTCTATACCCCATTAGCAGATGTAAATATACATGAAGGAGTTTTGAACATGGATGAAGCCCTTAATGAGACAGAGCACTTTCTCTTAAAAATGAACACTGTGAATAGGACAAACCTGAAATATCTATTTAAGAGAAAAGAGTTTCATGAAATATTAACAATGAGCAATTATGAAAAATATTTCTTCTGGTAACTGAGAAAGAAATAATATTACCTTCATTTTACATTTACATTTTTCTGGTTAGCGTTTTTTTAGCGAGTTAGTTTTCTACGGGATGGGGACGCTAACCCCATGCCCGACCCTCATCCTTTATCCGGGCTTGGGACCGGCAGTAGCCCCCGAAGGGACTCCAGACGGAGTACCAACGGACTGGAAAGAAGGACTTCTGATCAAAATATCGAAGAAAGGAGTAACAGGCGTAAGTAAGTAAGTAAGTAACACTTACATTCGTTTATATTATGTGTTTAAGACATTCTCAGCTAATGTTCGATATGTAACCAATACTATAAAGAACCTTCATCCAAGTAAACAAATAACATGTTCACTGAAATGAAGGTTAGTGGAAGTACCCGCAATTCCACAAAAAAATGTTTTTTATTTGAGTCAGCTAATACTATTTACTTATCAATCATAATTATATGGAACATTAACAACAACAAAAAAACTATACGAACAGTGACAGTAAGCACAAAAAATCAATGAAATTAACACCAGTTACATCATACTGATATGTGTTGTGTTGATTGTGACCACTAAATTGACACCATACAAATTTGAAAACTTCTCATATTTTACTTGATAATTGTTGGAGTAATCATTTTAATTCAAAGATGATTTTCGTCGTGATTTTCACATCACTTAAGGTACTACAAAACCTAACAACTAAAATGTAAAGATAGGTTCAGGTCGCTCATAAGGGACCGTGGGTGCGCACCGTCAAGGAGTTCGATACTAGGATCAAACTCCATCCAGTGCATCCAGATCTTCAACGATGGTCTAACATTGATCGGTTCATGATCTCACCTAAAACTCAACAATCTCCACAAACCCTATACTAATCAAGATATAATATTTGTTTCGTTAGTGAATTACCACGAGAGGGTTTCCTTCACTTTAAATGATAAGTTGTAATTCG